TATTAGAAACAATGCAGAAAAAAACAGTGCAGTGAGTGCAGTGAGAGCATGGACTGTGTACACACATACACTGAGGCTCAGAAAGCTGTACAAATCACCTGTTGTGACTCGACACATAGAAGGTGCCTGCACAAAGCCTTACATGTTAATGAGGTTTCAGATACACAGCTACCAACCTGGTGGAGAAAGCACACATCGCCATTGTGTCAGCCAAACAACAACTTGAATGGAAGCAGCCCCCATTGCTGAATTGATCTCCTACTCTTGGGGTTTTAGTCATTAGTAGGTTTCTTTTCTTTCTCCTTAGAGGTAGTTCCCCTTCCTATATTTTCAGTTGTAGTTTGTAGTGGTGTTAAAAAATCAATTAAAAACTCCCCTTAGGGGGATGCAAAACAAAAACAGCAGCCACCTCACAAAAAACAGTATGGTGTGGTGGTTAGAGTTTCAAACTAGGATATGGGAGACCAGGTTCAAATCCCCACTCTGCTGTGGAAGCACAGTGGGTAACCTTGTACCAGTCAAAGCCTGTCAACCCAACCTACCTCACAGGATTGTTGTGAGAATAAAATGAAGGAGGAAATTATGTAAGCTGTTTTGGGTTCCTGTTGTGGAGAAAGGTGGGGCATCAATGACGTAAATAAATGTACATTATATTTATTGTACTGTTGAAATGTTGTTACCCGCCCTGAGCCTGCTCGCAGGAAGGGGAAGGCTATAAATATGAAAATAAATAAATAAGCAATGCTGATCACATCCTCCCCTTTCCTCAACTATTCTGCCCCCACCACCCAGCTGGGTGGCAGCAGGCAGCATTGACAGAGAGAGGTCTCTGCCAAAGTAGGACATCTGTGGGTGTGGGTGTGTATATACATAAATACATGACAAATTCCAGATGCTTGGTTACCGTGGTACTTAATATTGTCATTGTGGCATGTAGTATTTTCAGCAATGATTCTATTGTAGCAGTTCTTGATTCTTAGTGGAAGTACAAAGCTTATTTATCATTTCTTATCAGAATATTTTGTTGTATGACATAGAAATATATATGCATGTGTTTCTTGTCATTGCTGTTTTTATGGAAACTTAATTTTACACCATTCATTGGTGGCTGATGAATTCAGTTCTTAACCAATCGCTTTCTATGTATGTGTTAAGTGCCGTCGAGTAGCTTTCGACTTATGGCAACCCTATGAATTAATTTCCTCCAAATGAACACTGGTTACTCACTGTGAAGGGTCCTTCTCCTCTGAGGGAGGCAGGACTAATTTCAATTACTTCCTGTGGTGGGCTCATTTCTGGTGCTTTGAAAGCAATACACTAACATAACCACTCTAAAAAAGAGAACTTGAACATCAATGACAAGAGTATAGCCAAAATCACAAACATTGGAACAGGAAGAAAAAGGTGAGTCGTCTCTCTCATGTAATCTTTTTTTTAAAATAGAGAGTGAAAAAACAGAATAGTAGATAGAAGACATGACAGCCTGGGAGGGCCAAGATGTTATCCAAGCCTCAGGAGAAGTACCCGTCATGGTAAGCAGGGCCGGCTCACTCACTAGGC